GAGGCAAACAATCCTAATTATTGACTGGTTTAGGAACACTTGGTACATGTAATCATACTTGCTGTGTTTTCTGTTGTACTACTTTACTATGTGTCAGAATATTTTTATGCCTGTTGCTTGAACATTTTTAAAGAAAATAAAAAATCTTGATTCTTGGTGTATTCATCTTTCAGGGTGCAAAGGTATTAAACTACGCCAAGTGGCACCAGACTGCTAATGCCATTTTTGTGGTGTTTACAGTTCTATTTATGGGTACAAGACTTGTTTATTTTCCTTTCTGGTAAGTACAGTAAGCTAAAATAAGAGGTAGTAGCTTTGTGACCTGTCATGTTTGATAAATAACAAGTGTTCGTATCTGCTGCAGGCTTATTCACTGTACATGGGTGTACCCATTGGAGAGATATGCACCCTTCTTTGGCTACTATTTCTTCAACGTCATGTTGGTGGTTCTGCTGATTCTCCACATCTACTGGGCTTTTTTGATATCACGCATGCTTTACAAGTTCGTTTTCAGCAAGGTGTGTTTAAAGGTGTTTGATAAGCAGCTCCAACTGTTGTTGCTTTTTGTCTCTGTCTCGTATTGCTCAAAATCTGTGATGTCTCTTTCCCATTCTGCAGCTTGAAGGTGATCTCCGGAGTGACGAAGAGGAGAATGACAGTGATTCACCAAAGGAGCAAAGGCACAAACTGAGTCATATGAATGGCCATGGTGCCAGAGGCCGAGCCAATGGTCACTAACATATACAGAAGGAAACAGAAAAAAAAGGAGTGTCAACGAGAAACTGGTGGACAATTCCTAGTTGGAGAGCAGCTGTTAAAATGTAATTGCTCATAAAATAAAATAAACAAATTCTTTTTACATAAAATTTTAAAACAACTGTGAATTAAACTGGACATTGTGATTTTATTTTAGTCATATTTAAATTGTAAAATGAGCTCCTAAAAATGCTGTTTTATTGTTAACGGTTCAAAAGGACATAAGATAAAACAAGGATGACATCACCTGTGTATGTGCTTTAATGTGCAGTGCAGCAGCACTTAAGTAGACGTTATTTATTTATTTATTTATTTATTTATTTATTTATTTATTTATTTATTTATTTATTTATTTATTTATTTATTTATTTATTTATTTATTTATTTATTTATTTATTTAGTTATTTATTTAGTTATTTAGTTATTCGTTTATTTATTTATTTATTATATTTCATGAAGGCAACAACATTTTATAGGTCTATGAATGAGTGTTTAATTTTTGTCCACATGAAGTCAGGCAGTAAAACAACGTAGAGCTAATCTCGCGAGATTTAATGTGAACTAGCGAGAACTCAACCTAGAAAGCCAAGACATGGTGGAGCTTCATTTGCACGTACATTTTTAAGCTATTGTGTTTGGCATTTTTCACACAGTGCATATTTTAATTAATTAAATTTAGCCTTTTTAGTTCATCAACGTGCATACCATTATCTTTGCTTACTCTGCAGTACTGACACGCACTCTCGCGATTATTAGCGAGAACTGTTCAGAGCACCATTACCATAGAAACCACCACATAAACAACGCGTTAATGTAAGCCTTGCTATTCACAGTCGTGCTTGAAATGGCTCGATTTACAAATTGTCGATCTAAAGTGAAAACGGGAAATTGGAGAGAGGACCAATACTTAGAGGAGGTTTGTTTGTTTGTTGTTGTTGTTGTTTTTTTTGTTTTTGAAAAAAATATGAAGTAGTGAATTATGTTGGCTAAGTTAGCCTTCGAGTTACTTAGTTAGCCGTTCTTTAAACGCTAGTATTGGTTATACCAAGAGATAACCTAAGGCCTGTGTAAATGTTGGACCATAAAACTAAGTAACAGTAATTAGTAGTAATTTACATGACATGTACAAGGTGAAACTGTATAGACGGCAAAGATGATGAATTTATAATCAAATATACTTAATGTTTTTAAATTAAAACGTAGAGTGAGTGTTGTGGGACATTTCACATTTCTTTGTACAGCAATAAAAAAATCATAAATACAGGTAGAAGGCATTTTCCACACTGTTCAGAGCAGCACGGGGTAATCTCTTGCAATGTATTTTAAATTACATGCATTATTGTTGTAAAAATATTCTAAATTTAATTACATCATACACAAATGCTTACAGTTGACTAATTCAGATGTAATTTCTTGCAAGTCCTATATGATGAAGTCTTTGAAAACATTTTGTAAAGTTGAAAACAACAACAAGAAATGGTTTCAAGACCAAGGTTGCATTTTTATCTTTGTGCTTGTGTGGGTTTTCTCCAGATTCACAGTACAAAGGTAGCATGTTCAGGCTACCCCCAGGCCTCCCTATAAAACAGATCTGTGAGCTCAATGAGATTATAAACAAATCAAGCATAACTAATTAACTGTACTAACTTGTTATTTGTACCATGAATATTTGGTCTTAAATATGACATTGTGTTTTTGCGTTGTAATCCACATTTAAGAAGCAAAGCAAAAAGATGAAAAGTAAAGAAGAAAATGGAAATAATCAAATTTTCCACTCTGAACTTAAATCTTTTGCTGTGTTGACAAATGGAACTTTGGAAAACTAATGATGCACATTGTTAATGCTCTTTTTTTTCCAGATTAAAATAAAAGAATATTTGGAAAAGAAGGAGAGAGGTGAACTTACTGCTCAGAAAGTAGACCTCCTCAAGCAGAACATTTTAAAACCGGTAATATGAGTTTCAGCTCTTTTAAAGCACAGTTTAAAGCTCTAACGAAGACATTGATAACTGTAGCAAAAGTCATGTTTGTCCACGTGTGTAGGTGAACCTTTCAGTGACGAACGACGGATATCTGCACTTTGGAGATGTTGTGATGCTGGTGAACGTGGGTGGAGGAAACAGGGAGTCCAGCGTTGTCTGCGTCAACTCTGACATCAACAGGTTGACAAACGTCCCATCTCTGGGTATTCAAGCTCCGTGTCCGGTCAGCGCAGGAAGAGGTGCTCAACCCTGCCCACGCAATGCTTTCATCATCACCAGGTAAACATCTTTGAAACGACACCAGCCCAATCCTGAACACAGACACCTGTTGGTCAGTGTGTAACGGTGTTTTGTCGGCGCAGTGTTGACGGCAGTCCTGAAGGAGCGACTCTGCACTTTGAGCAAAGCTTTGCTCTGAAAACAACAAGCGGCTTTACCAGAGGAGTAAGTTCACCTTATGTGCTGCAGAAATGTGCATTTGAAATTTGATTCCCTTCTTTGTTTGACTGCATCTCAGTCAAGACCAGGAGAAGTAGGGCTGCCGAGGGTGCTACAGCACCTTCTCTTTGATGTTCGAGGACATTCATGTCCAAATAGTTGAAGTTAAGGGTTAAAAAAAATGAATAAACACTGATTTTATCAGTGTGTGTGTGAAATATAAATGTGATTTTTCTATTACCTGCTACTCTGTGACTCCACAGTTGTTTACCTTGTTTCTGTTGATGTGTTCCCCTCAGCTTTACTTGACAAGTGATCTGAAAAGTTTCCAAAAGGTACATCACATTATAAGATTAAACGTTATTAAGAATCACCAGCCTGAATGCATCTATCACTGGTAATAATGTGAATGAATTTAAAGTGTGCAAAGATGTCTCGTCTCCAAGAAGTATACCTGGATGACAGCGATTGCTTTCTGACGTGGTGGAAGGTGGTGCACTTTGACCCCCAGGAGAGACTTGAATATGAGGGTCTGCCAGTTACTGTAAGTCGTTGCTGTATTTATGGTTAAATACATGCACTAAATGTTGAACGCATTCTGTAAAAAAACAGCGTTTCTATCAACCTCCCATGTGTTTTTTATAGGCTAATATGAAGGTCCTGATCTTGCACTGCAAGACAAACCAAGCTCTCGCTGTTCTGGGAAATCATCTTCTTTGGTACTTTGAATTTATTTTAATATGACCTCAAACTTTACGGGAATTTTGTTGTTTTGATTCAGTGTAAAGTCTGTGAGATAAAGAGATAAACTCGGTGCCTCTTTTTAAGCTTACATTATTGTAATATGATCAGAACGTCACAAAAAATATTTCCTGCTGTTGTGCAGTGTGTAACATTTGTCCGTGCAGGACCATGTATGGCCAGGAGTACGAGGTGACGGCCCACACATTCTTGGACTCCCACAAAGCTGAGCAGGACAACAACCACTGGGTCCTGTGCACCGCTGATCCTGCAGGGGACGGACTCGCTCTTCTCAAGGTCCCACAGTAAACAGCCAACAACCAGGAGTTCACAAATACAAACTAAGACATTCAAAATGCACAAGTTTGAATAATAAAGATTGCCTTTTTTTTTTGGATCACAGAATTTCTTTTTAAATAATAGAAAAAAACTTATAGATTGTAGGAAAAAGCTCTACATCATTGTAGTATCTTATAATAAGAACAAAACAGCAAATACAAACAAATACTGACATAAAGCTTTAATGACTCTGGTCTCTAATTTTATTTGGTTTTTTTTTTTTTTT